TAAAAAAAGAAGCTCTAGTGATAAATTGGTCAATTTTTTATGCGTGATAAACTTTTGATCCTCAACTTTAGAATTCCCGGCATTTCATATTCTAAGTATTGTGAAATTGACATCTTCAGTCTTTTTACTTTGATTTTGTCATCAAAAGTGAATGTCTAAAAAATGTCAACGACCGTGTTTGATAATAGCAGTTGTCTGCTAGCTGTCAGTTGAATCAGCATGTTGATAATAGCGGATTCCGTCAGCTTTTATAATTAACCGCTTTCATTAGCGTTTGAATGTTAATAACTTAAATCTTTGTGATTAAATGTTAATACGTAAAATGACCATTAAAGATATGAATTTAAAAGTATATATATTTATCTTAACTTTATTTCTTTTATTTTTAATAAGTCTTTGAAAAGGTTTTAAAAATTATATTTACATTTATTTTTAATAAGCATGGAGTAGATAAAAAAAACTAATAAATAGTCATATGAAGTTTATAGTGTTAGTAATTATTTAAAATAAACGTAAACATAATTTCCAAAACTTTTTCCAAGACTTATTGAAAATAAAAAAGAAATAAAATTAATTTAAATATATATATTTAAATTCATTTTTAATGGTCATTTTACGTCTGAAAAGCTAATTGCAAATTTTAAGCTAAGGGCACAAGGGTTTGCTCATACGGCAGGGTCGGATTGCGACGGACGAAGCGGCGGCCTAGCCTTGGGATGGAATGATGACGTTGATGTCACTATTATGGCGGAGTACTCCGATTATATCGACTGCCAAGTGAGTTTGATGGAGGGAGGATTAATGTGGACGCTTACATGTTATTATGCGTTCCCGAAGATGAGACGACGCCGAGAGGCTTGGGACATGCTGCGGCCTGCGGGGCTTAGCCGAGAATAATTCTCTTCCATGGATTGGAGACATGAATGATATTTTGTATGACTCGGAGAAGAAGGGAAGAATACCTCATCCAGGTTGGAGGATCTGTGGCTTTCTTTATGCAGTTTTTATTGAGTGGACTGCGGGATTTTCCTTTTGATGGCTATCAGTGGACTTGGGAGCAAGGGAAAGGCTCAATAAATTGGGTTGAAGAGAAGTTGGATTGAATTCTTGTCAACGAGCAATGGTGGGATAGTTTTATGGCGGCTCGGGCTACTTCAGTCGAGGACCCTATTAGCGACCATATGACTATTTAGGTTAAGATCGTTCCTACGATGCATGCAAGGACCCCAAAAAAGTTTCGTTTAGAAAACAGTTGGCTGAAAGAGGAGGAATGTTGCACCATTATGGCTAATAGTTGGAGGGCTCGTTCGGCAATGAATGTGAGTGACAAGATACTTTTTTGCGGGAAGGAGTTGTGACTGAAGAATTTTTGACACCATATTAGTGCTCATAAAAAAAGGCTTGCTTGGTTGAGGGGGCGAGATGATCCGAGGAGTACGGATGAATTCATTCAAATCCGTATGGTGCTACAAATTTTGTTGGAGAAAGATAATCAGTATTGGAGACAGAGGGCAAAGGAATTCTTACCGAAAGAAGGGGATATTAATTCTCGATTGTTTCATAATGCAGTTAAGGCCAGGCGAAGGAAAACTAAAATGGTGCGTTTGCACAGAGAGGATGGGTTGCAGATTACGGACAGTGGTGAGGTGGCAGATATGGTTCACAATTATTTTGCTAATTTATTTATTGAGCAGGAGTCACCGACAATGGCGGAGGAGATGGGACAGTTTCGAAGTGTTAGTAACGATCAAAACAGGAGACTGCTTCGTACTATCACACCGGAGGAGGTTAAGGCGACAATATTTGATATGCATCCAGAAAAAGCACTAGGCTCGGATGGCATGAATCCGGCATTTTTCAGAGGTATTGGGACATTGTTTTAATTCCAAAGAAGGAAAAGCCGGAAAAATTAAGAGACTGGAGACCAATAGCCTTATGTAATGTGATTTATAAAATTATCTCAAAGGTGTTGGCTAACAGGCTGAAGGGGATTTTGGGGTCTCTAATTGGGGAGAATCAAAGTGTTTTTATACCCGGAAGGTCTATTGTGGATGATATTATTCTAGCATTTGAGTCACAACATTTTTTGAAAAGGAAGAAATATGGGAAAGAAGGATTTGTGGCTTTGAAATTAGATATGAGCAGGGCGTATGATAGAGTTACCTGAGATTTTTTTGAAGAAAATTAAGATAAAGATGGATTTTGAGAGTAGATGGATTGAACTGATCATGCTTTGTGTTACCACTGCTAGCTATTATATTCAGTTCGATAAAGATTACTTGAATATGATTGTCCCGGGTAGGGGGCTCCGGCGGGGGGATCCATTATCCCCGTATCTGTTTATATTGGTGGCAGAGGGGTTGAGATTGATGTTAAGCAGAGCAACGGCAAGAGGGGACATCCACGGGGTGGCGGTCTATAGGGGAGCACCTAAAGTCACTCATTTATTTTTCGTTGATGATAGATTTTTATTTTTTAAAGCTAATAATAACGAGTGTGGGTAGGTGAAGAGTATTTTGCAGCTATGTGAACAGCTTTCAGGGCAAATGGTGAATTATGATAAGTCGTCCGTTTTGTTTAGCTCCAATATGGAGGACTCAGTCAGAACGGTTTGCATGTCTTTGCAAGGGGTGCTAAGTGTGGTGGAGCAAGGAAAATACCTCGGCTTACCAGTTATGATCGCCAGAAACAAATCAGCTATTTTGGGCTATATCCCGGATATAGTGTATAACATAATAAAAAGCTGGAATAATAAATTTCTATCTAAAGCGGGAAGGACAGTTCATTTAAAGAATGTTGTTCAGGCAATGCCTTCGTATGCAATGAACGTTTTCTTGTTACCAAAGGAACCTTGTGATGACATTGAGAAGCTTATGAATGGTTTTTGGAGTAGGAGGGATTCCAAACTTGATCAAAAGGGTTTGAGATGGAGAAGCCGGAAGAGCTTAAGAAGGCCGAAGGAGATGGGGGCTGGGATTTAGAACACTCAGAGAATTCGATCCGGCAATGCTGGCAAAGCAAGGGTGGCGGCTAATTAATGACGAGACTAGTATGATGAGCCATGTTCTGAAGGCAAGATATTATCCCAATTCTAATTTTTTTAGATGCTAATTCGGGTAGTAACCCCTCTTTTATTTGAAGGAGTATTTATGAGACTCAGGTTGTCCTAAAAGGAAATATTTGAAGGAGAGTATGGAATGGGGTGGACCTCCAAGTCTACGCCGATGCGTAGTTGTCGGGGGAGGGAACAAGAAGGGTCACGTCCCCTCGCCCGCAGGGGATTAGGGATATGAATGTTGCTGCTCTTAGATACATAACAGGAAAATTGTGGAACGGGGAAAAATAATGTCTCTTTTTAATTTGACGGATAGGAATAAAATTCTTAGTATTCCTATTAGTACTCAAGACAGGAAAGGTGACTTCTGGTGGAGTGGAGAAGTTAGCGGGGTTTTCTCGGTGAAGAGTTGTTATCGTGCTTTGGTAAGGGAGGTGCAAACCGATGGGTGGGAGGGGTGGAAGTTGTTGTGGGGTTTAGAGGTTCCTCCAAAATTTAAATATCTAGCATGGCAAATGTTGGATGGCTCTCTTCCCACTGTTGACAACTTAAGAAGGAAAGGGGTAGACATCCAAAATGGGTGCAAACTATGTGGAGATGGGTCCGAATAGCTGGACCATGCAGAGCGGCTTTGCCCCTGGGTCCATCAGGTATGGGAGCAGAAGAGGACTCCCATTGAGGTGGATCGGCCGGTGGTTGATTGGCTACAAGGGAAAATAACTTCATTAAGTAAGGAAGGGGCAGGTTTGTGTCGATGTTATGGAGTATTTGGAAGAGAAGGAATAATGTTGTTTGAAAGGATACAAAAGACACATCAGCCGACGTCCTTAACGGGGCAGAGAGCATGGCAACGCGCTGGAAGGAAGTGCAACAGGGAGCTCATTTTTGATTACACATGTCGTGGTTGGGGAAGAAAAATGTAAGAAACCGGGTAGGGGGTGCATTAAATTGAATGTGGATGGCACCGTGAATGAAGCTGGGGGTGTTCGGGCCTGGGTTTGGGTGGCAAGGGATGAAAATGGTGATTTTGTCAAGGCAAGGGGCTCGTCAGTTTCGGCCAGCGGGTTGGCTACGAAGACGGAAGCTATGAGGATTAGAGATGCGGTTTTTTGGAGTGACTGAGGAAGGTTGGAAAAGAGTGGAGATTGAGACATATGCTTTATCAGTGGTACAAGGGATCAACAATTGGTGGCTCTTCTTATCTCCATCTGGTCATTGATGATATTTAAAAAGGTGTTAGAAACAAAGAGTAATTTTTCTGTTTCTTTTTGTAGACGGTCTGCGAATCATGTCACTCATGTGTTAGCTAAAGCACACGTTATGGTCTCAGATCACAGAGTTACCTATTATATCATCCCTCATTTTTTTGGAATATGTCATCCCTCATTTTATTGTATGCCAGTTGGCGAACGATTTACTTGATTAATGGATTCGTTGGATTTGAGAATTAAAAAACTAGTACTCCGTAACATTTTATTTCAAATCGCTAATGAAAGTCATAGGTAACGAAATTTGCAAATGTCAATCTGCTGATTCAATCGGCTATGAGCTAACAAACAACTAATATTATCAAACACAGTTGTTGACATATTTAGACTTTCACTTTTGATGACAAAATCAAAGTAAAAGAAATGCAACTCTCAATTTCACGATTCTTAGAATATGAAATGTCGGGAATGCTAAAGTCGGTGATCAAAAGCTTATCACTCACAAAAAATTGACCAATTTGTTACTAGTTTTTTACCAATATGTTTCAAGTGATTTTTTTACCAATTTGTCATACGACCTCTTTTTTTAACCTATTGGGTAATTTGGCCCACTTTTACATGATAAAAACCCTACATTTTTACAAATCATACAATACATCTACAAGATCATTTTAACCTATGTTTAATTGGAAGTTTTTATTATTATTTATTTCAAGTTAAAAATATACTCCGTATGACTTATACGAAGTACTTCGTACATAGAAGAGCTGGACTAGTTGAATCTGACGCTCGGACTCGCAACTGAGAACCCTAGTCCAAATCTGTGTCTTGCATATCTCCATCGTCTCTTCCACACCGATGTAAAATTAACGTTTCAATCTTCTGATAGTTCTGAAAATGGCCGCTAGGATCTCGAAATCCCCTTCCATTCCTCTAGCCATCAGACTCCTCTCCCCTAACCGCACACCATTATCGTCCCGACCTTTATGCACGGCGGCCGAGACCCGGACCCGGAAACTTGATCGCATCGCCGACGAGCTTCTGGACCTCACCAAGCTCGAAAGGTACGATTACGGCATCCTTTTCCGGCACAAAATGGGCCTCAACCGGTACGGACCCGCAGTGTCAGGCCCGGCCTCATCTGGCTCCGCTGGGCCCGCGGCGGCTGAAACCAAGGCGGCAGAGAAGACCGTGTTCGATCTGAAGCTGGAGAAGTTCGACACAGCGGCTAAGATCAAGGTCATTAAGGAGATAAGAGCTTTTACAAGTTTGGGTTTAAAGGAAGCAAAGGAGCTGGTGGAGAAAGCTCCGGTGGTGGTGAAGAATGGGCTCAGTAAAGAAGAAGGTAATGCCATTATCGACAAGCTTAAGGAATTAGGTGCTACTGCGGTACTGGAATAAATCACCAATTGTAGTTCTTTTTTCTCTTTTGTTGTAGAATAACTCTTACTGCAGTTGGAAAAATGGAATTTTTAATGTCTGTTTTGACGAGATTATTGATATCCCATCCCACAATTGTTGATAATGCTGATATATTTGGTTGGTGATTTCACACACCGTGAATCGCAGTATCATTTAGCTGGTCTACATTGCTGGACTTAGGGGTTGTTTGGTTTGAATAGGAGCTTAATTTTCTTCTGCCTTCCCCTGGTTTTCCTTGCTGAATCGCGCAGTACAGGGAAGCTCCTATGAACATGCCTTATGGCTCTTTTAGTGCACTGGAAATCTTAGACTTAATCCGAAAAAGAAGAGGAAGAACTCTTCACACCTTTCAATTGTTGTTTTTCCCTGGTTCCCATCGATCAAACTGCAGAATTCCAGCTCCTTTATTCCTCCCCTCGCATATTGTTTGGAATAAAGGAGTGAAATTTTATGGCCTGAGGAGTAAAAAGTTCCTAAATCGTCTTTCTTTCATAAAAAGGTCAATTAAGTCCTTCTATAGGAGGTTATGTGTGCATCTTATTCACCAAGTCTAGTTTACTCATACCAAATTTTAGCTAAAAATTCAATCGGGAACACATTCAAATTAATTCTTGAAGATAATTGCGCATTTTTGCGTTCTCGAATTAATTTGAATGCGCTCCCGATTAAAATTTTAGCTGAAATTTGGTATGAGTAAACTGGACTTGATGAATAAGATGTTCTAAAAATTTCATCAAAAAATTCCACCGGGAACCGCCCCAAATCGCGATGACCGGACAGAGTCTCCTATAGAAGGACTTAATTGACTTTTTTATGAAAGTTCGAGGACCTATTTGACAGTTTTCCCTTCTTTTGTATTCTTTAGCACATGCCAAACACACCTTTACAAATACGGAGTATAAATGATAAATCCTTCATTCCATTTTGAGTTCATTTCCAACCATACAAATATAAATGATAAATTTTTAAAATAGGAGAAAGAACAAATATGTCCCTAAATGAAGTTTTACATAAAAAAAAATTCCTGTAACCATCTTTTGAAACAATTAAAGCACAAAAAAAGTCAAGCTGGAATATCATTACATCCAATTGTTGAATGGTTATTCAAAGCCTCAAATTTACATTTCTTTTGACTATTATTTTGTGTTTAGCTGTATTATAAAAGTGGGATATACATGCTATATTTCCTATAATACAGGGTATATATATATGTTCTTTATTCCTAAACAATGTCACCCCTTCACATGCATTCAAAATTCCCCAACCCAACAAGCGGTTAGGGAATGAGAGGATGTTTCAGAGTCAATGAGTGCTCATACCTTCCTCTCTAGGGAGTTGGGACATCCTCATTTAACGTTTATTCGGAGATTCTTTTGATGTGGTAGATGATTTTTTGAGCGGTCATGATTGAAGAGATGAAAATATTTTGAAAGATTATTTAGAAAAAAACTGATATCAAATATCAAAAACTTGATTGTTTCAAGATTTTTCCAAATTTTCAATAAAAATACTCAATCCATTTATGTCTTTTAATTTTGTGGGATGGCTGAAATACCTTTTTGAATATAGCAAGAAGTCCCATAAGATATGAGTAAATATAGTTCATCATTGAAGGGGAGTTGATGAGTTTTGAGAATACTTAAGATTTTTATGTGACTTTGAAGTAGTACTACCTCCGTCCCTTATAACTTTGCCAACTTTCCTTTTTTGGATGTCCCATTAACTTTGCCACTTTCCCATTTAAGTAAAGAATTTGTGGTTCCAGATAATTCTCTCTCCTCTGCACAAACCTCAACCACACAGTTTTTACTTTATTAATCCCCGTGCCGGTCAAACTTGGCAAAGTTATTAGGGACGAAGGGAGTAATTGTTAACCATTAAGAACCGTTTGTTTACTTGAGGAGCGTGGATGGAAATGCTCTTACGAACCATTTTGGAGTCTTGTGAGTTGTGACCTTCCTAATTTTGCCACACTATTCTCATTTAGTCATTGACATTTTCTTAACATGTTTATATTCATTGCCAAACGTTGTGTACCTGCGGGCTATGGCATATTGAACTTTGTATGTCCCGGCTCATATAGTATGAGACTTTGAGTCCTTATAGTACACCAGTAAGGGTTATTTTGCTAAAATTGCAGAATTTGCTTTTTTTAACATGAACGAATTTGGCAAAGACCTTATTTGGCTTTAACACTCATTTTGGTTTTACTTGAGGCATGTTTAAGCTAGACCTGGACCCGGCCCGGAACCGGCCCGGCCCGGTTACTGTGAGGCCCGGCCCGGCCCGGAGCCCGGTGGGCCCACCGGTTCGGTTCGGCCCGGCCCGGCTGCTGGGCGGTTCGGGCTCGGGCCGAGGTTTTGGCGAACCGGCCCGGCCGGTTCGGGCCCGGTTCGGTCCGATTTTTAATTTTTTTTTTTTTTTTTGAATTTTTTTTATGTTTTGGGTTGGATTAGGTATTTTGGGCCATTTGAGGTGGTTTGGGGTAGTTTGGGGTTGAGGGGGAGGGGTTGGGTGTTAAATAGAAGAGCAAAAAAAAAAAAAAAAATCCGGTTAGGCCCGGCCCGGCCCGGTTTGGCCCGGAACCGGAACCGGAACCGCCCACCGGCGGTTCGGGCCCGGGCCCAACTATCCTGGCCCGAGGCCCGGCCGGGCCCAGGCCCGAACCGGGCCCGAACCGGCCCGAGTCCAGGTCTAGTTTAAGCTAAACCAGTAAACCAAATGCAACTGATCCTACTTGATTGCTATCAAACAAACCTACAGTTCAGTTTGATTTCTAAAGGACCTGCACTCGCTAAACGTTGGGATGCACCTGTTTTCAAAAACTAGGCGAGAGCTGAACCGGAACGAGTCGTGTAAGAAATTGGTCCAGAACAGGGACGGATCCAGGATTTCGAGTTAGGGGGGGCGAAATTTTTTCATTAGTGTAGGAAGTGAAAAAAATTCGCTAGTAAGCGGAACGGGAAAAAAATCGCTAGTGTAGCGGGACGGATTTTTTCGCTAGTGTAGGGCTCTGTGACTAATTTTTATTTAAAAAGTTCCATTAGTACATACTACATACATGATGACAATTAAATCTATTATATTCTAATTCTAATTTTAGACAATGAAAAGATAACTTTGATTTAATAACTATAAGTGCTCCAGAAAAAAATATTGATACATTAAAGCTTAAGAAATGACAAATTAAAAGAAAATTATTTGAAAATAAGAAAGGATATGATATACCTAGTACAACATTTTATGATATTATTTGAAGGTAAAGTGGTTAAAGTTAAAGGTACACATTAACCAATACTTTTTAAGTAACTTATGTTTTGTTTAATCACATCACATGAATCCTAATAGGATAAAGAATTGGTTTTTGATTTGAGATTTATGTCTACCAAGAAGGGTATTTGTGGGTCATGATGAGTTTTCTTAATATTACAATAGTATGTATGAGATTATTATACTTAGAATAATATGATATGTAGTAATGTTAATTCATATATATATATATATATGGTGCATATTATATTTGTATTAATGCTAAAATAAGTTAAAGTATTATATATTATATTCAACAAATTGTTTTTAGAAAGTAAGAGATAAATGAAATGTGTAATTTAATGTCAACAAACATTTATACTATTTAACTACTGTATCTAATATTCAATATCTTTTGATATCTTACAAAATCGAGTACTAATTATCTAATAAAGATAATTAAACATTACAAAACTAAGAATTTTTTGGTTCCCTAAGTCTTAAACAACGAGTTTTATTGTTTATTTGTTTAAGTTATGTAAATTATTTTAAATTCTACTTCTTTTAAATCTCCAATTGAGCAATGCATTATGTGAGCCTATATATTAATTTTGAAAACTAAAAGTTAAGGGGGGCGAAAACATATATACCTAATTAAAGTATGAAAATTTTATGAAAATTTTATATATATAGTAGAAAATTTTGGAAGTCCAAGGGGGGCGGTCGCCCCCCGTGCCCCCCTTTGGATCCGTCCCTGGTCCAGAACAAGAACCACAAAAGCCAAAACAAGATTTGTTCCTCCAATCCCGACTAGAGATAAAGCCTTCATTGTAAGGACCATGTAACCCCTAATCTAAGGGTGGATTTACATGCCGTTCGTGACAAGGTACATCAAAGGTCAAATGGTTGCCAAAACAATAAAAAGTCAAAGGTAGACCGTGAAGATCATTTAGATTAGAGAAAACTATCAAATAAGTCCATGTACTTTTACGAAAAAATCAATTAGGTCCTCCAAGTTTTTTGTAAGTCAATTGAATCCTTAAAGTATTAAAAAACAACCAAATCTTCTATTTTGTAGGTTATCATCCGGTTTCCCGGTTAACAACCTACATAGATGTCTACATGACATTTTTTATTTTTATTTTCTATTTTTTTGAAAAAATTTCAATTTCTTTTTCTTTTCCCCTTTCTATTTCATCTCTTTCTCTCCTTTTCTTTCTCCGGCGAAAGATTTCAGCCTTCACCAAACCACCAATTCCGCCGCACCTACCTCCGTACTCACCATCTTCGCCCCGACAACCCTGTCTCATACCACCACCTCCGCCGCCCCTACCTTGATACCCACCGGCCACCATCTCCGCCGGTCCTTACTCCATACCCACGACCTTCGTTGCCCGGCCACCCCTGCATCCATACCACCCCCTCCAGTCCTCCTCCGCCCCTACCTTCATACCCACCGGCCACGGTCGCCGCCGCCCCTAACTCTGATCCATACCCACAACCTTTGCCGCGCGGCCAACCCTGCCTCCACACCCACTACCTCCGTCGCGGCGCCACCCCTACCTCCATACATAGTAGACCTGTACAAAACCGGGCCGGGCCGCCCGGCCCGCCCAGCCCGCCCGCACAAATTAGCGGGCTTGGGCATATATATTTACCCACCGGCCCGGGCCCGGCCCGCAACAACATATGGGCGGGCTTGGGTTAGGGTGTAGGCCCGTTCGGGCCGATAAGCTCGGCCCGCTACATTTAGTATATATACATATATATTTGTATATATACTAATTTATGTATTTATTTACATGTACACTTGTATATTTTCATATTTACTAATTTATCTGTATACATATTTATAGTTTATTATGTTTAAATTTAAGTTTTTAGTTCTTAACAAATAGTCCAACCAATATAATATCTATTTTTGTACTTAAAGATAATATGTTTTGCTTGTATTTTAAATTTTAGATATAGTTTCTCATTATTATTTTTGTGTAAATATTTTTTATGTATGTGATGAAAGGCCTATATACATTATAAGCGTATTAGCAATTTTTTAAATGTTGTAATATTATTTATAAAGTATTAAATAAATTATATAGTTTTGAAAAATTTAAAGCTTTACCGGGCCCGGTGGCCCGGTGGACTACCCGGCCCGCTCTTACGGGCGGGTATGGACATAGGGTTAGGCCCGTTTTTGCGGGCCGGGCCGGGCCCGCCCACACACGATGGGCAGAAAACTTATGGAAAGCCCGGCCCGAGCCCGTCCCGAACCCGCTTTTGTGCAGGTCTACTCCATAGCTATAGCCTCACAACCTCTTCTATGTTTCTGATGAAGACCTGAAAGGTTGAAACAAGGGACAAGAGAGGATTTGGAAGGAGAAAGAAACAAAATGCAAACATGGGGGAGAAGAACGGGTAAATGGGGGAGAAAGGAAAGAAAGAGATGAAAAAGAAAGGAGAAAAGAAAAGGAAATAGAAAATTTTTCAAAAAAAAAGAAAATTAAAATAAAAAATGCCAGGTAGACATATATGTAGGTTGATAACCGGGAAACCGGATGATAACCAACAAAATAGGAGATTTGGTTATTTTTTAATACTTTAAGGACTCAATTGACTCACAAAAAACTTCGAGGACTCAAATGACTTTTTCATAAAAGTGCAGGGACTTATTTGACAAGTTTTCCCTTTAGATTATTAAAGGGGGAAATTGATGTTACTGCCAAAATATTCAACATTTAAAGCAGCAATTCACAACCCCCAACATTTACTATCCATAAACATCAGTGTTTTTAAAATGGCATTGCATATTGAGCTCTCCTTGCATTTCACTCTTCCATTGACTTTGCTCATACATATCCCTACAAAAGTGTCTTCGTCTTCCACTTTTTGGTATAGACAAAATTTCAGATTTACAAATCATGTGGAGTACAAATCTTATTGTATATTTGTAACTATCACACATGGGAAGATCTACATTAGGGCTAGGGCAGCCTAAAGCTCAGATTAACTTAATTTTTCCCGCTATTTTTAGTATATTTTTTTCATTTTTCATATTTAACCCATTCCGCTAATATAATTATTTAAGCCATATTTATTCTTCATTCCAGTCCAATCCAGATTCTTGGATTCGCCCCCTGTATCCACATGTTCACTGAGATAGCAAATGTTCTAGACATGGATAGTGGCCTGAAAGTTCAACGCCTTGGTTGCAGCTTCAGCAAAACACCTTGCAGCTTCTGCCTCAGCCTCTGCTTCCTCTGCTTCCATTGCCGCCCGTTCAGCCTCAGCAATGGCGGCTTCAGCCTCTGCAACTGCTTGTGCAGCTGCAATTGCTGCCTCGTGTGCACTCATATTCCTCATCTTCTCCAGTTCAGCGTCAATTTGTGCCTTAGTCAGCATTCTTGTTCCATTACTACTTTCTGGTCTTGGTGCAAGTTGTGTCATCTGCTTTCCCTCAAGAAGCAAAGGAGAAGGCTCCATCTTTACATCAACCATTGACATCCCATTAGGTGCGATCCTGTAAAAATGCTTCACCTGGTAAACATATACGATGACAATATTACATTTCAAAAACGAAAATAAAATAAGGGATTGATTAAGTTATTTCACATGAAGCTCAAGTGTAAATACCTTTATGAGCCTTCTTTTTTCGGTTAAGTCCTTTAAATTTGCAGCCAACAGCCTTTCAAGGTTTGGAGGAGCCTGGTAGCTCTCCTAAAAAAATAGATAAACAGTGGGGTTATGGTGAATTCAGAGGAACTGGCCGGTTACAAACCCATTTGGTATACCTTTTTTGGATTTATTAGTCATTCGTCATATTTTGCACAAAAAACCAACTCTCTGCTAACGGTGAAAGAAAAGTACTCCAAACTAGGTTGTTAAACTCGAGGTCCTAGATCCGAACAAAAGAGGTCTAGGAGATTGAAACTCGAATCGTAAGATCCTAGAAACAAAGGTACCATGTATGTATATACATGTATGAAGAGATGAACCTTCCTGTCAGGCCGGCTGGCCTGACATGAACCCGCCGTCATGCCGCCTCTGTTCGAGCTGATTTTACGATTAGATTTTAAGTCAAATTTTGGTGCAAATAATAATCTATGCTTCATGAAGAACATGCTCACAAAATTTCATCAAAAACTTCCACCCAGAACATTTATGTAGATAGATATTTAAACTTAAAACTTTTCAAAATTAATAACAGAGCAACGTCATTATTCAAGAATATAAAAATAAATACTTAACATGCTTATGGTATATTTTAAAATGACATCTTCAAATAAAATCATGCTGGTTCAAATAAAACAAGTGTTGCAGATCTGAAGAACTGAAGAAGCCAACACTCCCCCAGCCTTTTATAGAAAGATTCTGCTTAGGTGTATGAAGGTGTGGCTCTGGTCAGTTTTCAGGTATGAAGGTGTGGCTTGGGAGTTGGGTCTTCGTATGTCGTTACTCTTTTACAATTGTGTCGTTTCTGCTCAGTCTGCATCGTCTCCGAATTCCAACCATGAGCGCTGTTTCGGAATTCCACTTACAAGTTAACTCGTCAAACCGACAATTTCCCTACAATTTCTGATCCAAGCTACAAACCAGCTTGACCGAACACCTACAACTCGTAAGATCGTACAAGTTAACGAGTTAACTCGCGATCTTGATAACCTTGACTCCAAGAGTTAACTTTTTGGACGGGGTTAAGGCAAAGACATTTTCACCTTCAGTTTTAGACATTATTATCTTTACTTCATTTAATAAAAGGGGCAACTCGGTGCACATTGGTGTCTGCAAGGCGATGGTCTAGTGAAAGGTCCCACCACAAGGGTGTATATTTAATACTCTATATAAATAATTTTTTAGAATTGAATTCAACTTTGTATTCCTCCTCTCTTTTTGCAAGATGGAAGGTTGCCACAGGAAGGGAATTTAGCATTAAACATCATCTTTGCGCGAAATATGTTGTTAACAAATTTTAGCTCTACCGGTTAATGATTAATTATTACAGATCTAATGCCACTGCCCATAACTAGTTTGGATTAAGGTCATGATGACTTCAAATATGTATATTAAGCCAATTTCAGTCACAACTTCAGAAAATGTAGCAAATTCAGCACTTCAGACTTTTTAATCCTTACCAAACAGACTCTAAGTGTTCCATCTGCAAGAAAATAACAGAGTAGACCAGAAAAGAGAACATGTTTGACACAACTAAACTAAGAAACGTTTTAATTCCTGCATACATAGCACACGAATGCCAGTAATTTGAAACAAAAATCACAAAAAAAATACACATGCAAGACGGTTGTTATACAACCGACCGCAATCTAATGCTCTCCAAAAACACACAAAAAGGACAAAGATTCATGTATGTAGACACAGAGAATAGCATAAATGCAATGGATTATAATAAACAGTCCTCTCACTAACTGGTTAGCTTAAAGGAATTACCTCAATGAACATGCAAATTGCGTTTCTACTAGATCCTCGAGGTTCCTTCAGCTTGGCTATAGCCTCCATTATCAGATTGTCCAAGCTGCATTTGAAATAGAAATCATTGTCAACAGAGAGCTTATTCACAAATGAAAAGCTCACGGCAGACCATTATATAGAATGGCACATAAGAGCTTCATTAGAACACCAAATAACACATATGATTAAGTAAAGAGGAGAGAAGACAAATAACCTAGTGATTGGTTTCTTAGAGCAGATATCTGTTTGTGATCCATTAACTGTAGCAAGGGGCTTAGCATCAAGAATGTCCACATTATTATCAACCACAGTGGTAAGAGCCATAGGCTCATCATCATCGTCATCATTCTTGGATTGAGTGATTTTACCAACAATCTTACCCCGCTGCCTAGACCCCCAACCATTGGTCATGACATGAAGATTTCTCCATTTATCCTGTCCACTTCTCCAAGTTAAGCCTTAGTCATCATATTCTCCATTACAAAAAAAACAGTATAACCTCTCCTCATATGAAGCATAGATATGCTAGGAGGTTTGTTAATTACCTTGAGGTCCACATTAGACCGAGAACGCAATATCGGAGCAAAGTCTGGATCTTTGAGTATGGTGCTCCACTTTCCCATCCCATACTTGGCCACACCAGCTTTAAGTGCAGCTTCTTCTCCTGATGTCCACTTCAGCTTTGGTGCACCCATTGCTATGATCTTAGTGGTTCTATTCCAGAAGTTTTAAACAATTTCAGCTCTCCCACACGTGTGCCTGCAAAAGCGAAAAGTCTGACAACATAACCAACACTGTTGAAAATCGCCATACCCTTTGAGTCTAAGACTCTAAAGTCATCACAATGCAAAGGCTAATTCAAGCTTTAATTTTGTGAGCACGAGACATAGGGTATGTTTTGGAATTTGGGGGAGGGGAAGGTTTTGAAGGTCAGCTTGTGGGAGGGGAGGGGAAGTAAAGGAAATTTTTCTTCTTGTTTGTGAGTTCCAAATTTGAAAAGGGGGAGGTTATGGGGAATTATAATTAAACTTGGTTCACAGTTGTGTGGAAATCAAAATATTGAACAGGTATTCATTTTAAATTGAGCTAAAATGATACTACGTAATTCAATTAATTATCTTTCAAAATACCCAGACTTGGGACTTGAAAATTCAGCAGTCCAGAATTACAAGAACCCACCACAGCAGGGCCACTAACACTCCTCATCCTTCCCCTCCACTCAAAAACCTCACTCCTAAACATATCCCAGTCCAATCATGGAGTAATTTGATTCATTTACTATCAAGTTAACTTCCCATTAAAGGTTTGGAGGTGAACCGTGAACTTATGACCAAAAATCATCCATCCCCACTCTAATTAAACTTGTTCTATGTTTGACAACCCCAATCCGCCCAATCTATTACAGCACATATGGTTAAACTATTATGTCTATGTGTTCTAAGGATCGGACTAGCCAAACCTGGGGAGCAATCGCGCGGCAGACACGTATGACAGTCCACGTGGCGTGTGGTTGACCGGAAACGACGACGGAGTATAGTGGGATTTTTTTCCGGAGAGAGATCTCTGCAGTCTGCACAGGGACTGAGTATGGGACCGTCGGGTTGTGGCTTGATGCCTTAATGAACCCCCCCTGAGACTATGGGATTTGGAGACGCTATTTTCGAAACTATACCAATTTCAGCTAAAACTTTAATGGAGAACGCATTCAAATGAATTCTTGAAAATAATTGTGCAGTTAGAAACATAGTTATCTTCTATTTGAATGCCTTCCCGATTGAAGTTTTAGCTGAAATTTGGTATGAGCAAACTAGACTTGATGAATAAGATGCTCAAAATATTTCATCCAAAAATTCTACCGGGAACCACTCCAAATGGCGACGGCCGGACAGAGCCTCCTAAATAAGGGCTTATTTGATCTTTTTTGGTTAGTACATGGGCCTATTTGCACCTTTTCCCTTTTTTTAATACTACCTTCATACCAAATTTGTATGAGAGAGGGCGTCACAATTGTTAAGAAAAGTGAGTTTGTATGTTTTAGGCTAACATAAGGATATTGGGAAAACTATCAAATAAGTCATCGAACTTATTTGAAAAGTGAAATTCACCCCCTTATAAAGGAGGTTATGTCCGGCCTTTACCATTTGAGGCGGTTCCCAGTGCAATTTTTTGATCATCTTATTCATCAAGTATAGTTTAATCATACCAAGTTTTAGCTAAAAATTCAATCGAGAAGGAAGTCAAATGGACTGCGCAGTTAAACAGCGCCGTATATTTCAGAAAATCATTTGACTGCCTTCCATGTTGAATTTTTAGCTGAAATTTGGTATGTGTAAACTAGACTTAATAGAGAAGATGTTCAAAATATTTCATCAAAAAGTTCCACCGGTAACCGCCCCAAATGGCGACAACCGGACAGAACCTCCTTTATAAGGGGTGATTTGCACTTTTTATGTAAGTTCAAGGGCTTATTTGATAGTTTTCCCTAAAGATATTTGTCCAGAAAAGAAAGAATTAACATAAATCACTAATTTTTTAGTGAAAGAGAAATTGAAAAAGTTGGAAGGAGAACAACAAAATATACATCATATTTCAATTTTTAATTATGTTTCAAAGTACATTTGATACAAGGATTAAAATATTGAATATTGTGTCGGGGAAATTGTGCAAGAGGAGAAAAAATATGTGAATATGAGCAACAAATGTTATTAATCACAAATTCTTTATTTTAAAAGAAAAGTGAACATTATTTTGGAACAAGCAGATGAGAAAATTGGATATAATTCAGGGACAGTGGGTGTACTTCGCATTGATCCAAATCGCTTTTGCAAAAAAAGGTAAATATGTTTTTACTCCTTACAAATATGACACGCTTTATTTCAGATCACGGTAAAATATTATTTTTGTTTTTCCGTCCTTGTAATATGCATTATTTTGTTTTTATTTCATTTCCATCTCTAAGACCACTAGAATTGAAAAAAAAAAGTTATTGCAGGTTGCATATATCTACACAAACTTTTAAATTTATTCCTTTATAATGTTTTTGAGACTAACTTGCTAATTAAAATAATTTAAAACTAAGGGCCCGTTTACTGAAAGAGACATTTTCCAGTTTTCTGTTCTCCAATTTTCTTTTTAAATTTTCCAGTTTTTCTATCTTCAACTTTTTGTTTCATTTTTCAGTTTTTCATTTTTCAAATTTGAAAACATGTTCATCAAATTTTGTCATCAAGTTTTGTGACCGGTCGGAAGACCAAAAGTATTGTCCCTAAACCGAACCTAGTGCAGCCCAAGTAGGGTACCTGGTCCGGGTATAGGAAAGTTAGGACCGAAATTGATCGGTCCTGGTTGGTCTCAATAGCTAGTTTGAATAATTCTTTTCCCTTTTCCCTATTGTTTGGCAACTCAAGGATTCTTTTGAAACTCTTCACACTCAAAAAAATAATTTCAAAGAATGCAGACCGAACCGCCAGAGCGTCGACCAGATAGGGATTATCGGGTCATTGACCGGACCAACTCGAGACGACCCGATCACAGATCGGACCGGGCCAGAACTGTCTGGTCATTTACCAGACCAGATAGGGACTGCCGGATAATTGACCGGACTGGGACTGCCCAATCGTCAATCGCACCGAACAGGTACCACTAGGTCATTGACCGAAAAGGGACTGTCGAGCCGCCCGGACCAGACAGGGACCAGTCGGTCATTGGTTGGACCGAACAACCGCCGGGTCATTGACCAAACCTGACTAGAACTGAGCCCGAAGTGGGATCGAGTCCACCACTAGACGTATGTAGCAAATCCATTGTTGCATCACTACATCATCCACTTCTTTCAAATTTGAAAAACTAGTCAAACTCACTTCTCAAATTCATTAAGGAAAATAGAGACATGTCCCATTTTTTGTTTTGAAAAATGATTTGGTAAATGCGCATTTTCCTCTGTTCCTTCTTCTCCAGTTTTTCAACAAATTTTTCGGCAAACTAGAAAATATTTTTGTTAGTAAACTGACTTTAATTATTCATATTTTTAAAATATGTATCAAAAACCTTCTTAAAAACTAAATATGTTTTGAATAATATGACAAAGATTTAGATAATTTTTTTTGTCAGGGTTGTTTTGATGTCAAATGGAGGTTGTTATAATCGATGATGGAATAGAAAGGAAAATCTAGATAAATTTCAAGAATGAAAAACAAAAAAAATAATTTTTCAGGGATGTAAAATAAAGGGTAGTATATTTGCAGGAAAAAAAAGCATATTTAAATAAAAAGATAATGATCCAAAACATTGAAAACCTCATCACAACACAATTTCTCTTCCCCTCCCCTAACTCTCACAAAAATGGTCTCACTTTCTAACAAGGCGTAAAATATATTATCTTAAGAAGAGCAACACTCTTTGATGAACATGCGAAAGATTCGAACTAACAGTCGGCACTAAAACCCAAATTAGTTCCTCCCACGATAATAAAACAATCAACGAACTCAAAACCCAATACACACAAGTATTATCTAAATAAAAAAGTAAAACATAACAAAAATAGAGTTTGAAAGAAAAATAGAACACAAAACACCATGGGTCTAAATCCAACCTTGAAGCACCCGTTTCTGATCCTGAGCCCCATGGTTGCTCCAAGGCGATAGTTCATGAGGGAGGCGGGTCACGAATACCTCATCTTCCTTTCCCATTTCCATCTTCTTCATGATCCCTATATCGATATCGCCGATCATCATGATTGGAATAGGCTAGCCTTTGTTTCTTATGCCTTTTAACTTACGTAGAGAGTATTACTCATGCCTTTTAACTTTGTTATCTTTCATTATCTCTTTATGCGAGACTTTAGTTCTTATTATTTCTCTCATCTTCATAAACCTAATCTTTATTACGTACTTGGGAAAGTAATATATAAGTGGCGTTATTGTTTAGAGACACTTCTTGAAAATTGAATGAAATGTTGATTTGAATAATTCTTTGCAAAGTTCATCAAATAATTTAAATAAATTATAAAGTAGTAAAGTAGATCATTTTGCTCCAAATTTCCTTTCAAAAGAAGTTATACTCCTTGGGTTTTCATATTTTTGTCCAATTTTAATATTTTCTCTTGTCGCAATACATTTGTCTCATACCATGTGGTAATATTTGAGCGATTGTAATTCATTTTTTTTACTTAATTCACACTTTTTAAATTCAATATCAACGAATCAATTTTATTTTTCTTAATAATGGACCGCAGTGCCTTTTCTTATCTCAATTCTAAGGGGACAGAAGTACTATATGGTTAGATCTTATTTTAATAATATAATGAACCTTCTCTCTAATGTATTAGTAATCCACTAATATTAGATCTTATATGTTAGAATAAAAGTAAGGAAGTCATCCACTAATATTAGTATTTAGTTCTAAAAAGTGATGAATAAAAATGTGACTTGGTAACTTTTAGTCACTATAATTATTTTCAAAGTTACTAATTTACTATGATGTAGTTGTTATAATGTAAAATTTGAATACAATTATATTCACTAAAATTTACCAAGTCGTTTTTTTGTTCATAACCCTTTTATTAGTAATTTTTTACATTAAAATTAATTTTTTATACATTTTTTAAATTTGAGACGGGTCAAGACTTTTTTTTCTTAATCCAGAAGGAAAACCACCCAAATCAGTGGGGCAAATGTCGGGGAACATTTGCCAGGTTTTATTAAAAATTGAGGGAAATACAAGAAGAGAGGTGGACTAGGCCAATATATCTCACCAGAGGCCTACCTCCAGAAAATACAAGAAGATGTAAGCAAGAAAAAGCAAAAATAAAATTTTTGGGGGGCTAGACCTGACCCAAAAATTAAAATACAAGAAAATTACCAGGTACGTAACTGGCATCAGTGTTAAGTTTAAAACTATTTTTGGGTTTAATCTATCTAATAGCTTTGACTTTCGTTCCTAAAGCACTGAAATTCCGTGGAATAAACCCTTCCTCAATTAACACTTCCTCCACATAATGAATTTTTAATCTAGGAAGACTAGAAACCCATATGCGAGTGAAATGTTTAATTTGAATAACAATACTTTCAGAAGTTACTCCTCCTGCTTTATCACCCCAAATGAATTCAATATAATTTTTCCAAATAATCCAGCAAATTATACCTGGCAAAAATGTTTAAAAAGATCTAGTAACGTTTTACTTCCTGCTTTAAGCCACCAGTGCATCATCATTTGTCTCATGTCAGTAGTAGAGCACAAAGTAATGCCTAGAATGCTTTGAAAGTAATACCAAACAGGCGTAACCACCGTACAAGAGATAAACACATGGTCCATGGAATCCTCATGCTTTCTGCATAGAGGGCAGATGGAAGGCCTCAATACCATGTTAAATCTGGCCAATCTATCTGTTATTGGCAGGATGCCATGAAGCATTTTCCATTGGAAAACCTTAATTTTCATAATCTGATATGGATGCCAAGCATGCTTAAAAGATAACATAGTAGACTGAACCTCTCTCATAGACTCATAGGCTTATTTAAAAGAAAACAGACCATCATTTTCTGGCTCCCAAATTAAGGTGCCATCCTGGTTGGTGCTGCAGTTAAAGGTATCCAAATCATGGATACTGCAAATTCTCCTCCAAATGGGAGAATCAGTAACCTTAGAGATCATGTTTGTACCTCTAGGGTATCTGGCAGTCATGAAAACATTCCAAAGAGAGTTACCATTCTTACATTTCCACCACAATTTCATGGAAAAAGCTTTTTCAATGGAGTTCAGAGACGGGTCAAGACTTAAGTTGCTCCCCTCTAGCTCCGCACTTGAGTACAAAAACAAATACTTTTCCCTGAAAACGAAGAATAAATGGAGGTTAGTAGTCAATTTTATAGCCATTCTCTGAGCTAGACAATTTTTATAAATAATAGAATAAATAAATTTAGTCAAAATACATAAATAAATAAATAAATAAATAAATAAATAAATAAATAAATAAATAAATAAATAAATAAATAAATAAATAAATAAATAAATAAATAAATAAATAAATAAATAAATAAATAAATAAATAAATAAATAAATAAATAAATAAATAAATAAATAAATAAATAAATAAATAAATAAATAAATAAATAAATAAATAAATAAATAAATAAGCAACTAAATAAATGATAAAACTACTGAAATTTTCAGATTTGATATGGTCTTGTTTGTTTCAAAATTTGTTTTCATTTTTTATGAATGATTTTTATGTGATTAGAATTTGCAAGCAATTCTTTTTCACTTTCTTTCAAAAGTTATTTTTTTTATGAATTATTTTTGTGTGATTAGAATGTGAAAACAATTCCTTGTAACTTTCTTTAAATTTTTATTCTTTTTTTTATGAATAACTTTTATGTGATTACCAAACTTATGAATATTTTAATTTATGTTTTTCGAATCTTAACACGTACAGTCTTGATGTTTTAACAATTCCTTTTCGCTTTCTTAAGAAAATTGTTTTTATTTTAACTTTGTACTCCCTCCGTCCCGAAAACAACTTCCCGGTTGGACTTTCACACACTTTTAGGAAATAAATTTGACTTTACTGTAGAATGCACTGTTTTGCACTGTTTAAACACTGTTTGGCAATGTTTAAACACTGTTTGGCACTGTTTAAACACTGTTTGGCACTGTTTATCACTTTTTTTATGTAGATAATTTGCCAAATAAGGAAAGTAGTGAAGTGTGAAGTTAATTTTGGGACATCCATTTAAGGAAAGTGAGAAGTTGTTTTCGGGACGGAGGGAGTATATGATAAAAACTACTCTCTCCGTCTCATTTAAAGGTTCTCGTCCACTATTATCCGGTCAACATGCATTGTTCTTAATCTTTTACTTTATACATTCAACTTTTATCAAATTTAATTTTTCTTGATCGGGTATTATAAAACTTTTAATGTAGTTTCTAAATATATCAATTTTATTTACTAAAAATAATCCTATTAATGACAGCGATCAGTTAACTTTATGGTCAGTCAAACATCAAAAACAGTGTGAGAACCTTTAAGTGGGACGGAGGGAGTACAAAATACTTCCTCCGTTCTTTAATAGTTGTAGAATTGTGATTTTTGCACTATTCATACACCATAGTTTGACTATGATTTTCTACTAAAATGTAATCAAATTATTATGCATAAAATGTTATTAAATTTTTATTAATGTAAAATTTCAAAATAATATTTTTTTTATAATGCTTACTTATACACATTAAAATATAATGACAACCAAAATTGTGTGTTATTCCCTCCGTTCCGCTGAAAGATTTCCACTGTAAAATGACACAATTATTTAGAAATAACTAAATAAGGTTATTTGAGCATATTTTGAGAAATAGTTTCAATGGGTTTATAATATAATGTGGTCATTGATGATAACTGTGATATTATTAATGTAATATTTTTAATATTTGATGATTAAATCGTCATATAAGAGTGTTAATTGTTTCCTAACATAGAAGTGAAAACCTTTATATAGAACGTTCAAAAAAGAAAAGTGGGAACCTATAAATGGGACAGATGAAGTATTTAATTCTAAATAAATTCGTAATTAAAATCGATTATTAAAGAAGTAGTGGTGAATAGGAAGATTAATAAATAAATTCAACATTAATTGTGAATGAGTCTAGTGAAAATGTGTTAATTTGTGTATTAGTGAAATTTTGTATAAGAGCCTAGTGAAAATGTGTTTGAGTGAAATTATGTTAATCCACGTTTAAGTGAAGTTGTATTTTCACATGTAAATCCCGTGTAGGGATTTTCCTAATTGGATTGAATTTTTTTGATTTGATATTGTCTTGTTTGTTTAAGTCTAGTAAATCCATGTTTACTGTTTTTTATTTTTTCACATGTTTGATTTGCATTTACTAATTGGCAGCCATACTCAAATAATAATAATAATAATAAAATAATAATAATATATTGTGCAATAATTGAAATATATATTGTCTTTCAATCTATTCGGGCCATTATTCAGGCCCAATAATCGACAATCCTGGGATACAATATAATATACTCTATCAATATATATCTTTATAAAATTGTTGAATAAAAGATGTAAAATAAAAATAAAAAAGTGAAAATATAAGAAAATTTCATTTGGGATGATTCTGATCTCAAATCAGATCAGATTTTCTACAACAACAATTTCCTCATACTTAAAAATAAAGTGCATAAACCTTCATATTGGAATAGGGTTTGCATTCCATACTTTCATATTGGAATATGGTTTGAAGTACATACTTTCATATTGGAGTAACTTCATCATGATTGAAAATAACATAGTTATGTCAAAGCTAGTTTGTCAAGTTCATCATACTTTCTTTTGCAGTTTTGCTTGTTAAGATTGAACCCAATATGTTTTTGTCCTCCCAAGTGGTCTTCCAACATGGAAGCATGTTAAAACGTTAAAAACTAAGTGGGATGTAATGTTTATGGATTGTGGTGTACACCTTTTTCTCATGGATTTTTAAAAAAGTTCATCGATTTTTAAATTACTAGACTTTTAATCCAACTTTTAATCCGTTGTATTTTAAATCCATAGACTTTTAAACACATATACTTTTAAAATGAATGACTTCTAATGATTTGAGTAAATCCATACACTTTTATACGAATGTAGGCATGGACCCACTCCGCCCATACCGATCGGGCTAGACACTATTTGGGACCGGCCCGAGACCGGTTTTCCAGTCTCATTCCATGACCATTCACCCCCGCTTTTCAGTCTTCGTTTCTGGGTCTCAGGTGTTAATATTTGGGCCGGCCAATATCAGGGCTGATCTAGTCCCCAACATCAGGTAGGACGGTTTGAAAAAAATGAGCAAGATCCGGCTCAGGATCAGAGCAACCAGCCTATTCAACCTAGTCTGGGACCGCTATGTAGCGGGCCTGTCCAGCCTTGGTCCAGATCTGGTCCATGCCTATATGAAAGACATTCATAATTTTCTTAAAATACAAAAGCTAACGTGACAAATATAATATCTAATGTTCTCTAATCAAAATGAGATCAAGTATTATATAATAAAAAATAGTGACAACATCAATGCACAAAATTGAAACAAAAGTCATGTGTTACTAAAACCTATGGATCAAAATTATTCATTTTAAAACTACTCATCCCGTTTAAAGAATGCTCATGACGCCCTATGCCGGAAATCGCATGGTTGGAAGCCTAGTTCCCTTCGCGCCACAGGAACTCTCCACGAATCCCCAAAGTCGCATCTGCCTAGGGCTCCCCCTCGACGCAATTGGGATTGCCACCAGCTTGAGATCAGCATTTGCTACTGTGGAAACCCCTCTCTGACACCCCTCTTTTCCTTTTAATAGTTATTTGTATTGTCAACTACTCTCTCCGTCCCTAATAACTTTGCCAAGTTTTACCGGCATAGGGATTAATAAAATAAAAACTGTGTGATTGAGGATTGTGCAGAGGAGAGAGAATTATCAGCAACCACAAATTTTTTACTTAAAATAGAAAGTGACAAAGTTAATGGGACATCCATAAAAGGAAAGTTGGCAAAGTTATAAGGGACGGAGGGAGTATAAAAACTTGCTAAAACAAGAGAATAGAATACAGTTACCGTCTGTAAAACATGTAAAAACATATACAATTAAAATCTAATGAACAAAATATTTGTTCAAACAGTAGCAAGTAGCAGATTCAACACCAAAAAACATTTATAAGACTCAAAACTAAAAGTACATAATGTATATAAAAATCATTTATAAACTAACCATATGCTCTGTATATACATAAATCACTTACGTAAATAACGAATTAATCAGATAGTTCATACAATCTCACACTACAATCCACATACTCCGTATATAACAATGATCATCTGTTAAAAGCAAATAATCCATCATCAAAAGAATATGGGAGCGCAGCAGGCTGCAAAGTTATTTCCAATGCCGAGAAAAGGCCCTACTGTAAGTATATACTTCGTAGAGGAATATTCCTGTCCGGAATTTCCGGACAGGAACCCCCGTCCAGCCTCCTCCATTTGGGGGCCTTCACGGTGGTATTTTTTGCTCAAATTTTTTGTGTATGTTCCTCATCAAGTCTAGTTCATCCATACCAAATTTAATAAAAAAATTCAACCAGGAATATCGTCAAATGATTTTTGCAAGTTAACTGGTCCGGAATATGTATGTTCTGTTGATATTATATGAAGTATCATCTATAAATTCTCTTAGGTGTTCACATTTTTAGAATGATTTTAGCATAGTTTTTTACTCTACCAATGAGTTATTTGTCCTGGAATTTATCACATCAAAGATTCAAAACTTACAAAGACCCTCTTGGAATTGAGTATCATTCAATAATAGTCTTAACACACCGGAGACTAAAAATGATTCAGGTTCTAGGTATATTATTTTTGTCCTTCTGGGTAATTGGAAACAGAGCCAAATATTTAAATATGATTATTCATATTGTTAGGATGTTGTTTGAGTCCCACTTGGAAACATTAAAGGGAGGAAAATATAATGAGTTCATAAGACCTTGGGCTGAAACTAACTAATTGATTGGAATTAATCTCTTGGTGGGGTTTCAGTCAAGTGGATTATGGCTCTGTTGGGCGACCCCAAAAACTTCTATCTTCCTTAAGAATATGACTATCTCATCAAACACTCGTTTGGTTTTTGGCGTTTTAAATCCTAATCTGCTGTAAATGGCAGCATATCAAGTGTCAACTAATATAGCATTTTGGCTAAAACACCAATATCCAAACATAGCCATTTTCACAGCCGCTCTCAAACCTCAACTGTTTTTCTGTAGTTTTATCCCTTTCTGTAGTTCACACTTGAACGTGTGGGACAATGTTCATTTCAAAAGCAAATGGTTATGCATCTTGGTATGACTTCTGG